AAATTGTCAAAACTGTGTTTATTTTGATTTTTTTTTCATGTTCCGAGTCCCTAGGCTGGATACTTGCCATGAACTGGGACTTCACCAGATTAACAAGAACTACAGTCATAAAGACAACTGAAACAAAACATACATATCGCGATTACAACAACGAATAAATGAGTCGAGACCAATAGTACGTGGAATTGGCTTAGTCTTCATATAAATACCGTTCGAACTAATATTTTTTCAATTCACAATCAATTTAATTGAACATTACAAAGAAATAAGAAGAAAATATAAACGATGTGCACGCTCAGCTCTCAGATATTACAGAATAGAGATGGAGAAGCAGATAGATGATGATCCAAAGAAATTTTTCAAGCAAGTGAATTTCAAAAAAGGGAAAAGTGAAGATCTACCGCATGAGATGACTTATTTGAATGAAAAAGCAAGCGATCAATTAACAATTGCAAGTTTTTTTGCAAAACACTTTGGCACCGCCTATAGCTCTTTAGAAGGTGATCTGCGATATGACAGCTCGGAAATAGAAAAAATACGTGATATTTGTGCTGAAATATCAATGATCGAAATAACCGAGGAGCTTGTAGGTCACCATTTAAGCATGCTGCCAGATGATCTTGTCTGTGGTCCTGATGAAATTCCAAACAAATTTATCAAGCATTGTTTGGTTTCATTGCAGGGGCCAATATCAACACTATTAAAGGAATCACTTGAAACTGCCACAGTACCACAGTTATGGAGAACGTCATTTGTCAGACCAGTTTATAAGAACGGCGATAGAAACAACGTTCAAAATTACCGGGGTGTTGCGTAAAGCAAGTGTATTTTGTCAAAAATTCTCGATTCGATCGTCACAAACCATCTCAATCTATATTTGAAAAACATAATCCACGAAAGTCAACATGGATTCATAAAGAACAGGTCAACGAAAACAAATTTAGTTGAATTTACTTCAAAAACAATTAATAACATGGGGAGAGGACATCAAACAGACGCCATCTATTTGGACATAGCCAAGGCTTTTGATTCGGTCAACTTAAAATTGCTTATTCAAAAACTAGAAATCATGGGACTGAATGAACAGCTGTTAAAATGGATCGAATCTTACTTGTCTGGTCGCAGACAAATTGTAAAGATAGCAGATACCAAATCTGACATCAAAGTTACATCTGGGACGGGTCAAGGATATCCAATTGGCGCTACTTTGTTCATCATGTTTATTATTGATCTACCATTCGTCGTTAGCGATTCTTGTATACTTTCATTCGCTGATGATACAAAAATTTCAAAATGTATCTCCTCAACAGATGATTGCATTAATCTACAGAATGACTTGGATCGTGTAGCAGATTATTATGGACGCAATTTATTGAAGTTAAATGTAAACAAAACAAAGATCATATCATATCATCGGGGATCACTGCAATATGAATACAAATACAACATAGGCGGCGTTCAAATAGAAAGAGTCTTTGTAATAAGGGACTTGGGAGTGTTGCTTGATGTGCAAATGAATTTCAAATCACACATTGAGCATGTCACGGCTAAAGCAAAATCAAGATTCGCTTGGCTAAAGTTCTACAGCAAGGATTTTATTGACCCATGGACAATTAAACGCCTTTATTTTACATTTGTATTACCAATTATAGAATATGGATCAGAAATATGGAATCCACACTACGACAATATGTGCAAAAAAATAGAGTCAGTACAAAAACAATTTTTACTTTTTGCGCTAAGGAGAATGAACTGGGACAGATATAAACTTCCTAAATATGAGCATAGACTCCTGTTTCTACAAATGATTACGCTTGAGGAGAGACGCGAGATGGCGCAGGTGTCTTTTATATTCAAAATTATTAATGGAGATATGAAGTCAAGCCATATATCAAACAGTTTAAATTATTATGATTCAGCGCATAATACCCGTGCAACGCCGCTTTTTGATATACCGATTAGAAGAAGCGATTACACGAAGTATGAACCAATTAATTACATGCTTACTACATTCAATGATTATTATACGAAAAAAATACCAAACAGTGATACTACTTTAATTGATTTAGAAGTAAATTTATCAACAGTCAAACTGAGAATTGAAAAATATTTAAAACAAAATAGATAGAATTGAATAGAAAATATACTGGGAAAATTATTAATCTCCTTCAAAACTACTAGATGTAAGAATATAATTATTTTGTATTTATTTAAAATATATTCAATAAACCACCAAGGCGAAGGAACGCTGTTCGGTGCAGTTATTATTATTATTATTATTAAATCTTACTTGTCTGGTCGCAGACAAATTGTAAAGATTGCAGATACCAAATCCGACCCAATCAAAGTTACATCTGGGACGGGTCAAGGATATCCAATTGGCGCTACTTTGTTCATCATGTTTGTTATTGATCTACCTTTCGTCGTTAGCGATTCTTGTATACTTTCATTCGCTGATGATACAAAAATTTCAAAATGTATCTCCTCAACAGATGATTGCATTAATCTACAGAATGACTTGGATCGTGTAGCTGATTATTATGGACGCAATTTATTGAAATTAAATGTAAACAAAACAAAGATCATATCATATCATCGGGGATCACTGCAATATGAATACAAATACAACATAGGTGGCGCTCAAATAGAAAGAGTCTTTGTAATAACTCTTGGACTTGGTAGTGTTGCTTGATGTGCAAATGAATTTCAAATCACACATTGAGCATGTCACGGCTAAAGCCAAATCAAGACTGGCTTGGTTAAAGTTCTACGGCAAGGATTTCGTCGATCCATGGACAATTAAACGCCTTTATTTTACATTTGTATTACCAATCATCGAATATGGATCGGAAATATGGAATCCACACTACGACAATATGTGCAAAAGAATAGAGTCAATACAAAAACAATTCTTATTATTTGCACTAAGGAGAATGTCCTGGAATAGTTATAGACTGCCGAAATACGAACACAGACTACTGTTTCTACAAATGATTACTCTGGAGGAAAGACCCAAGATGGCGCAAGTGTCTTTCAATTTCAAAATTTTACACGGAGAAATGAGGCCTTTTTATGTATCGGGCAGCTTAAAATATTATGATTCAGCACATAATACAAGAGCTACTCCTTTATTTGATTTACCAAAAAGAAGGACTGATTACACGATGTTTGAACCAATAAATTATATGCAAGCATCATTTAATGATTTTTATACCAAAAAAATGCCACATAGTGATACTAATTTGATTGATTTAGAAGTAGAATTACCAACAGTGAAACTTAGAATTGAAAATTATTTAAAGCAAACAAGATAAAAACAGAATATTTGTAAATAAGCAAGAACAAAATGAGCAAAAATTAACAATCTCTCTCAAAATTGCTTGATAAAAATTGAATAAATTGTGTTATATTTATTTATATTTGAATAAACCACCAAGGCGAAGAAACGCTGTTCGGTGCAGTTATTATTATATTATTATTATTATCATTCAACGATTATTATACCAAACAAATGCTAAACAGTTTTGAATTTGAATTTTTCAATTATTAATACAGCACAAGAATGATTTGAAAACACTTCTCTTTATATGCTAGGTTTAAAAAAAATTCCTACCCCTGTAAAAGTTTAATTGATTTAAAACACAACTAGAGAAGATGTTTTCACTTTTGTACGCTAAATGCATATTTGTAAATGCAATGAAACACAATATTGAATTTATTGTTCTCGTTGTCATGTACGGTCGTTGTCATGTACCCATGATGGTATTTATAACATATATATTTCAATTGAATGAATTTTTCTCGTTTAAATGGTAGAATATGAGTGGTGGCTTGAGGAATTTTTGTTGATACAAGTTTACTATATTGTGAATGAGAGAAAAAAATAAAACTTTCATATAAACAATGCAAAAAAAAAGAGAGTCATCGAAATTACATCGAGAAATAAACAAAAAAATAACCTTTGTAGCCCATTTTCCTAAAAACAAATAATATATGGTTTAGAATGTGTTGTGTTCCAATTGAATGAATTTTATTTTGTGGTTATGTGTTTGTCACTATCGAAACTTTATTCTGAGACAAAAATGATAATGAAAATGTCATAAGGTTCGGTTCACATCAATAATACATTCAATATTTAGACATTAGACAATTTTCTGCTTTCATTTACCTTATTATCATTGAATGAACAACGTCAAGTTAAGCATTCACAAACGACAGGAATAAAAAACTTTTGAAATTGGTATATCAAAAACTAGTCTCCTGAAAATATTAAGTTCAACTGCTGTCGGTCCGAAAGCTAAATCGACCATAATTTTGCACAAGTGTCAAAATAAATTTTAATAATTTTATAGAATAATTCGAAGTGCTATACTATGCTTACCATTGATTTTATATAGTCGTATCTATGAAAATAGAGTGTATTCTAGGAAAAATGGTCGCGTTCAATGCTTGATTTGTGTTGCAAAGAAAATAGTTTGACATTTACAACACGTGTATAACGCAGACAGATCTTAAATCACATTTTTATAAATCAAATTTCCATTAAAATGTCGAAGACACAATCTACCATTGACGAAATTATTCCGATTAAAAAACATAAACAAAATCCGATAGTTGGTATGTGCATGAATAAAACATAATTTGATAATGATTAACTTTTTCGTTTTCAGCTTATTTTCAGAATGGTCAAATGACCGATAATTTCGCAGCAAATTTGGACGTATGTACAGTTAAAGATTCAACAAATAAAATTTTGCTGGCTATATCAAAAGACAATATATATGATGGATATATTGATCACAGCTCATTAACCAAGTTAAACAAAACATTTCTTGCAATTAGAAAAAAAAAATCGGAAAAAGTAAGTCAACACTATCAAAATAATTATTGTTGTGAATTTTTTTTTTTGCTTTAATTATCACCCTTTTTCTGAAGGTCAAATTGGTTGAAGTTTCTGAAAGTAGTATGATGAGCTACATCTATAAATGTTGTTTCCAACAAGAATCAAAATTATCCAATGTTCAATCAGATATGCATACTGAAAATGCACGAAGGATATTATTTAAGGAATTTGGCGGTAAAAAAAGCCACGCGGCTATATCCCTATTATTTCAAGCATTTTTATTCATGAAATATAGAAGAAATTGTAGTCGTATTTAATTAGCAAACATTGCTGAAAGTGAGATTTGGGGAAGAAATCATTGTTTTTTAGACACAATCGTATCGAAAAAACTGAAAAAAATAGCGAACAACCAAAGGTAATTTTTATATTCAAACAAGTGATTATTTGTTGTTTGTTCTTTTCATACTCTAATCTGGGAAATAACTATTTTTTTCTTTTTCAGGAAAACAACTACCAAATCTCATATTGAAGCAGTGTTTTGCTAAGTTGTCTTTATTGTTGTTGTTGTCATTATTTTGTGCTGCGATTATAGATATATAAATTTGACTTTTTTCTAATTTTCTCCCTCTTCCATTTTGATTCTCCTGAATTTTTCTATTATTTAAAAAAAAATTCTATAATTTTCTGTTTATTGCAACTTCAGGAAAAAAGGCCATACAAGTTTTGGACAGAAAAGAAAAAATGAAAATTAACGTGGATGTCGTTAAAGAACAATTGGATAAAACATTATTAGGTCAGTATTTTTTTTCACTGAGTAGCTCAAATTGTAATGACCTAGCATATCGAAAAACATCTAGAGACACAGAACGAATAAAATGTACAGCCTGAAAAAAAACTAAAAAAATCAAATATATTTTTCGATTTCTAAGAGTTAGATATCAACCAAAGTACTAAGGAACATAAGGATGAGTTTGATGAAGTAAAAGAGCAACAAGATAATGTTCTGGAAGAAATGTTGCCCAAAGTGAATAAGGATGCTATCAAGTTGACCGATGTTTATTGCTTAGAAAACTTAATACAACTAGATATACTAGATAGTTTAAAAGCAGACGCAATCAACTTACTTAAAGCAAGCCATGATGATATACCGTAAGTACTCGATATAAATAGTAGTATAATTATTAAAAAAAGTAGTTGAAATGAAATTATTTATTTGTATATTTGACAGAATAAGGCCGATATTTTTAAAAATAAAAATTCAATCGATTCAGCGGGCTAGAATTCCGGATGAAATAGAGAATTTACGGAAGATTGAAATTTGCATTTATATAGATGCATTGATATCATTTCTCAAACAAATAAACCAAGTGCATTTAAATTCAGTAGTTAGATTGAAACCATTATCCAAAATCACGTCAAAATTAGATTCACACATCAAAAAGAAATTCGCTCAACCAAACATAGTCAAGTTGTGAGTACAAAAGCTATATTGAACGATTGGTAAAATATTCCTATTCTGACTGAGATTAACAGAGATGAACAATTATGAAATTTCAAAATTATAATTCAATTTTTTCTTCTTTTACAGGACAAAAACGAATTATGTAATCCACAAAACCACCTTGTACATCATTGTTCTTTCACTGTTGATATCAGAGAGACTTGAAATCGATATCCAGCATATTATTGAGGAAATTGGTGTTTCAAAAACTAGTCTCCTGAAAATATTAAGTTCAACTGCTGTCCGTCCAAAAGCTAAATCGAACATTATTTGCATTCGCTTACCAAGTCAACTGAAAGCATTTTCAACAAATTTCCGACGTCGACGTACGTTATAATTTCATCTTTTTTATTAATTCCAATTCGGAATAATTTTTTTCTCAATAAACTAACTTTTATGATGATGTTCAAACTCTAATAACTAATAAAAATAGAAGAAAAAATATAAATAGATCGGTTAGATAATACGAAAGTCCACGCTAAATATATAGCCAGACTTCATGATAAGAACTATTAACATTGTTCCTTAAATTAAACTAAATTTAATTTTTCATTTATTTGTTTGATTCATTGATTGTTGATTTGTTGAATGAGCGATGTCTAGTCTGTGAACGATGCTATTCTCAGTTTTCACCATCGTCGTCGCTACCGCTACCGCTATCATTACTATCATCACTGTTGTCAGACAATTCACTGTTGCTCAAATCGATTGCATCTTCTTCGCTGCTTGACGACCACCATGGCTGATCCGAATCGTATTCAGCTTCATTGGAATTTTTTGATGTTTGATACTGAAATGTAAACAAAAAAATCAAATTCACATTACACATTACATTTATTCAAAAATTGTATTCAACAAATAATGCAGCTCACCTTTTGTTGCTTTTTACGCTTATTTTCATCAAATTGTTTGAAGCGTCGCTCTGCATGCTGATCTTGTATCTTGGCATCGACTGTGAATGCATCTGGCAATTTTATTCCCAACAGTTCATGATGACCTAAATACATATATGATGAAAATTGAATATTAGATTCAAAGTTATATAAAAAAATAAATGATTCACTGTAAACATACCGCGAAGTCGAATATTTCGACCGGCATTAGTGTCTCGATTTAATGTAACCGAACGGAATTTTGTCGTATCACCAATATCATCATCATTTCGTATGTATTTCCATGCGATGACATCTAGGCGCCGACGTCGCAAATGTGTTCGTGGCCTCTTCACTGATAATATCGCAGCATTTTCAGCAGCCGGCACAAGCATTCCATCGATCATATTGAAGCGTTTCAGTTCGACTTTTGGCTGGCCGCCATCGTCGTTCGAATTCCGTGGTCGATATTTTTTCTGCTTCTTCAATTGTTTCGAATTCTTGTGGCTGTAAATGAATGAACCGCCATCGGGCAGTGCTTCTGGCGATGGTTTACACTGGCGACACACTTTGAACCGAGATTTCGTTGTCTTTCGGCCATTCCTCGAACCATTTTCCAGTACATTAAAGCAACGGCTACATAATTTTGTTGTTCGATATTCATCCACGTAGCGCACGGTACATTGTGGATGTTGTTCGAGTGCTTTGAATAGCAAACGAACACTTGTACGTACATAACCTTTGCATGGTGAATTTGCATGGGTGAACGGCGACAAACAATCATTCGCACCAATTCACCAATGGTTCGATGGATTTCAATCCAATGCAAAAAATTAGTCAGTACATACTCTTCGCTGCCGTACACTTCCATGGCCCGATTGAAAAATCTTAACGTATGGTCGGCGTACGTTTTAAAATCGATCGTCTTGCTGCTCGGCTGTACATGGCTCTCACACTCTCGTTCGATGCGCTCACGATCGTCGGCTCTGTCCTCTTCAAGCGTACCAACCAGTTGATCTCGTTGTTTTTTGAACTGTGGCAATTTCGTCATCCAATGATATTGCTTGCTGGATATTTTGAAATTGCGTACGCTTTTCACTTTCACAGCGCCCGTATCATCTTTCTCTCGATCGATAATTTGGCCGGCGATGATCTCACGGTCGCCAACATCAAAGCTTACTTCGCGATCGCAGTGGCGTAATATATTTTGTAGCCGTTCTTTGGTTTCAGCATCAGTTGCATCGTTTTTCTTCTTCGTCTTCTTCTCTTTGTTCATCAGAAAAACGAATGCATTGCCATCGGTTTGTATTCGATTGGCGAATAGTAAGCCAGCGGAATGGCGTTCGATTTTACTGATGCCGAAATATTTACGCCACATGCGATCCCACAGTTCTTTGTTGCCATTGAACGGTTGTTCCCATCGTTTATTACTGCCATTGTTCTTTTTCATTTCCGGTTCCTTTGGGTTTTTCAACCGCTTAAGGATTTCATAGAGGCCACGCTTGTCGATTTGGATGTAGATACGACCAAAACGTGCCTCCGGAATGACTTGATACACGGTCAAATTTGGCGCACATCGAACCCATGTATATTTGATACCTGGCAATCGTTTTCGTGGCACATATTCGGCAATTGGACGACAGATTGATTTCGATTTCGATTTAGTGTGAGTGGTGGTTTTATGAATTTTGGCTGCTGCTTCGGCCTGAAGTTTGGCCTTTGCTGCGGCAACTTCAGCCGGTTGTTTCTTTTCATCTTCATCCATTTGTTTATTGATCATGAGACAGCGTTCACGATTTCTTGCACGACAATATTGCTGAAGTTTTACGAAAAATGGCACATGACGATACCAATTTGTTGTCAATTTGGTGAAATAACCGCGTCGATTCGCTTCGAAATCCATCGGATTAAAATCGGTTTGAATACGCTTCAGAAGACGTTCGATAGCTGGTGTCAATAGAATTGGATCACGTTTTCGTTTTGGCTTTTTCACTTTCTTTTCATTTTGTCGCTTTTTTCGTTTGGCCGCTTCATCATCGGTGGCCTTTTTGCGTGGCGGTCGTTTCGATTGTGGCTTTTTCTTATAGAAATTCGGATTCTCTGCCTCGTCGCTGAACAAATAGCGCATTGTATTGGTGATCAATTGGTAATTCGCTTTGCGTATCTGTTTCAATGTTCGACATTTTTGTGGCGGCAGTGGTGGTGTTTTGGCGCGTGATGTGCTCGCAAACGGTTCATTTGATTTCGCATGGTTTGCCAATTCTTCGGAAATCACACAATGATTCAAATATGCCCGAACATTATTATACAGACTACGTATGATACACATCATGAAATTGGTGAAATATTGCCGAGTTGCATAGGTGAAAATGTTACCATAACCAATTGCATTTTTCTCAATGACTTTGTGCTTCTGACAGAACTTGCTTATAGCCTGATCCAATTTCCATGTTTTTCGCAATTTTGTCTTGCCATTGATACAATTACCATACACACCACGAAAATAACCATCAAAATAATTTCGATTGTATTCACACGTACTGTTCCAAAATTCGGTACGAATGGCATCTTCATCTCTGATGAAATATCATCTAATCTATTTTTGAATAACTTAGGAAGTCTTTATAACATGCATTGAAAATCATTCTAATTTCACTTAAACATCTGATGCCGTAAAAGACAGTTATATTCGCTGCCAAACCTGCTATTAAATTGATCCCAGTATATTGTACCTTTAATACGCGAAACAAATCAAACTTGTATACAATGTGAATTTTTGAATGTAAACAAATAGTTCAGCTTCGAAGTGATACACACAGCTACTGCCAAATCTCATACCGAACAATTTCTGTTGACTACCGATTTCTTTAAGCAAAACAGGTGGTCTACGCTCGCTTCATTCGCTTCGTGCTTACCACGCATTGCGCACACACATAGTTAATTATTTTTTCTGTGAGAAATTTATCATAAGAATTGAAATACAAAATTGAAGCTTAAGATTGTGTTGGGTCGGGTTCAACTTATGCTAAACAATGTGGAATCTGTATTCTTTATTGAAAATGAATGCCTAATATGATCCACCTTCAATTTTACGCTAAAATGACCACAAAAATGGGTCAAAGCGTTACAATTAAAATATACTAAAAGCGTTACACACTTTCTATCTTCACATTTCCACACTTTCTATCTTAATTTATTAACTTCAAACTAAAATTGTATTCTTAGATTGTCATACAAAACATTATAGTGATCAGTAGTGCATGGTAATTACAGTCTTTTTTCATTTTCTTGTGAAGAATGGAACTGATTTTCGTTATTCAGTAAATCAGTCTTCATCAAACCATTAAGAGATAACCATCCATTAATTTCTCTACTCAAAAAGTGACAATGTTTGTACAATTGTTGTTAGTTCAATCATTTTATATGATGTCTTGTGAATGGATACAAATATCTCAAACACCTCGTATTTTATTCAGAAAGTCTCCTTTGAAAACGTCGTTAATGAATTTTGACTACGAGGACTTCTCGATTACTAAACAAAGCTTTGTGAATTTTAACGAAAATAAAGACAAAAATGAAAAGAAATTTATTGAATACAATTATGAAAGGAATATTTCTGGAAATGGTGATATACAAAATCAAAATCAGAATAAAGTGAAAGGAAATCTGATGAATAAAATGAAAATAATTAAAGACAATATCTCAAACTTTTTTATGAATATGCAAAAATCACTTGAAATTTTTAAAGGAATTAAAAGAAAATCTGCTTTTTTGGAAAATATCAAAAACATTATTCAAATTGAAATAGGTTTGTCAAGTTCTCAAACTCATATTTAATAAGCAAAACAACAAAAAATTATTTAATTAAAAACAGCCTTAAATAAAAGATATAACATCCTTAATATGGAAAATTCTAAGGTTGTAATGTGCCAATAGAATAGAAAAAGAAATAATCACTGAGAAACATCAAAATGCCTGTGTGTATATGAGCATAGTTACTTCTGATCTTTTTAGTAATAATGACTGCAACGTACAGTGTTCCTTCGCCTGGTGCCACCATTTATTTATTTTATTTTATATACAGGGATGCGCATATAATAGGGCCACTATTAGGGGGTGAACATTTTGAAAAACCCGTGAGGGGGTCTGTTGAGGGTAAAAAAATAGAAAATTTCTATCTGAGCAGAACTTTGAATAAGTACAAAACACTTCTTTCGAAGTTCCCACTGTGACGCAATACTGTAAATCTAAAAATGGTCTGATATAAATTTTCAGTGACGCGTTCGTTCATATACATACAAATATTAATATTGCGTCGCCTTTGAAAGTCTAACACAAACAAAAGACGTCATTGAATTCTATTATTTTCGTGTTGTTTACATGTTATCGTTCTCTTGAGGTAAAAGAGGCGACGCAATATTAATATTTGTATGTATATGAACGAACGCGTCACT